AGTGAGATGGGTTTGAATATCTTCCCTAACACTATTATTATTATTATTTTTAGATGGAATGAAAAACATTATTAATAAATTATATTGACTACCTTACTAATCATAATTAATAACTACATTATTATTGAGTAATAATTTTTGCTTATGGATATTTTGGAAAACATTACGCACCACTAAGATGTATCCAAATGTCTTTGGAATCAATGTAAGACTATTTAAATAAAACAATCTTCATAAATAAAAAAGAATGCAACACTTAGATAAATTTATCTGAAACGTGACACTATAACACCTCATAATATCCTTAGACATATTCAACCCTTTAGAATTACTAACAATTTTGCAACGAAAACACTTGTATTGTATAACTAAGATATAAATTTATGAGGGTGACGTGTCCAACATCACACATCAGAAAATCAATATTCTGAAAGATATTTTTATAATCCAAAATATGACCCAATGGATCTATATGACAAAAGAAGGATCCATTATATTGATAAGTGATAACTTTAAGAGGGGACTTATGAAACAAAAAAGGATTCACTTTCCTAGATTAAATAGAGTATTTTCTTGTGAGATAATTCATGAAAAATTTCTCCTAAAAGATAAGAAAAAACATCTTGTATCTAGTTGTGTTTACATACAATAATATTAACATACACAAAATTGAAGCAACTACTTTCATAACTCATACTAAAGATAGTAATAAACATGTCTACTATATGAACAATTATTATATGAATAATTACTATAAAATAATATACTTAAAATAAAAAATGATAGCTTAGCAATTTTTAAACAAATTGGTTATAAGTCTTGATGGAGGAGGATGTACACCTTTAGCCAATTAAAGTTTATACTAATATGTGAATTTGACTTGGAAAAATATTAGAGAGAATTAGATGATATCCTTCATACTTAAATATTTATAGTAGAAAATTGTACACATACTAAACACTCATTCATTCTTAGTAAACAAAATATAGAATCTATATCAGATGCGAATGAATTTCTTCTCAATAGAAATCAAAAATAGATTCATCTTTATGTGATTTTTTATATTTGAGATAACCTCTTAACGAATTAAGTTCATCTCTATTAAATACCAATCAAACATAGATATATTGACATGATGTCTATAATAACATTATATTTATTATATTTATCTTTCAAAAATAAAAATCTCCATGATCGTAATATCAACACTTTAATGCCCACTTTTTTTTCTTAATTATAACATGTTGGAGTAAGAAACTATTTCTATTGTTAGTACAAAATAATAAACAAATAAATGCATATTGAATATAAAATATCAAATATATAAAATTAGTTAAGCATACATGTTAAAACATAGAGGTGAAGTGTTTATGTTCATACTTTATGGTATGAAATTTCAATGCAAAATGAGAGACAAGTATTATACCAACACATACCATTAAAATCCCCAAACAATGAATACAATTCTAACAAATTTTAATTGAATACACACATAAATTGTATTCAATTAATTTTTATTATAAAATATTAAATTTCTAGAGTAAGATCCATCTCATTGACAATTTTTGTTTTGAGCAAGATCATCAATCAAATATTATACGCAAATGAAAATAATAAAGTGAAAAGAGAATTGAAAGATTTCTTTCAAATTCAATCAACAATCCACACGCATATAGTCATATATTTAAATTAGATGATATCAAAATATGGTACAACCCAATTGTTTATCATTTATTATTGACGAATAATTAACCTCTCATGCTTCCAAGATTTAATAAAACTAGTTCGAGATAGTTGTTGAAAGTATAGATCAAGCTCTCACCTTTGCCCCTTAATTTTCAGTATCAATGGGTTTTGTCACCCTGTAGATATCAGCAAGAGATCTATATTTCTTCATCTTCTTTGGTCGAAAAATCTGATTGATCTTATTAGTATTGGATCTATGATCAACGTCTTTAGATGAGATTTTCTCCCCCCTTTCAACCTGAATATCAGTTGACACGCCATCATTCTTCAGAATTTCATTTGGTGCTTTATCATGTGACATTACATTCAAGCGAGGTTTCATCAGCTTGCATTGACGTTTGGTTCCCATTGGGTATCTTTGTTTTTGATCGCGTATTTTTGGAGGGTATTCGATGAAGGAGTTTTGTTTTTGTGAGAAAGAAATTCTGAGAGAGAATGGATGAAAAGCGGCGCCTCCCCTCACATTAGAAAATATAGGGTTTAAGGTTAATTTTGTAAATTTATTTGGAAGTTGATATTCATATATTAATGGATCTAGAACCCTGGTAAAATGAATGCAAAATGAAATTCAAATTATTTTGGGTTACTCGTTCAAGAAAATAGGTTAAAAATGTAAAATATATAAGTATATGGGCTTCTTCTTTTTTGTCAGGAAGTTTAAACCCCCTTGAAAACTACTAGTAAAATTAAAATAATGACATGAAAAATAAAATATTTCTCTAAACGCAAGGTTTATTATGTTTTATTTATTTTTGTTGTGTGATTATACTATTAAAATGTGATAAAATTTTATCTTCTTTTATTAGTTTCTTTTGTAATCAAAGCTATTTTGTTATATTTGTTCTGGACTGACCCAATAGACAAGGCTCGATAGATAAGGCTCAATAGCTGGATGAGGGATAGTCACAAAGAAAGTATGTCATCCGATTTTTCCCTCAATTAAATAGAATTCTCTTCATGAAATCATCAGGCACGATCTCCTAAAAATGATCAAATGATCAGTCCCAACTTACTTGAAGGTAAGGGAAACACAATAAATAGGGGTTTGAGTTGGGTTTCTAGAATGAAACTTTTTCGCTACCCAAGACAAGAAACAAAGAACTTAGATTAAAAATAATTAACACAATATTTTTATCCCGGTTCATTGTTAACAGAGCTAACTCCAGTTCACCCGCCAAGGTGCTTTATCCTTCTCCCAAAGACTTAATCCACTATAATTAAACTGATTACAACCTCAAAGACTAAATGACAACGTTGTCTTGAGAAATTCTAGCTATACCCTAGTCTCTCAAGGAATAACAACTCAAAAGTTGAGATACAATGGTGTGTTTACAAAGATGCTTCAATAAAGCAGATTACACAAAATGAAATACAATGAATGACACAAAAGTGTTTAAGAGCAAGTGTATGAAAAAAAGTTCCTTGCTTGATGCTTTTCTTATTTCACTGAATTTGTAATATTTACGTTCAAGATCTTGAGAAAATGTTTTCAAAAATTTGTTGTGTAAAATTGTACTGTTCCATTCTTCAAGTCTTCTTCTTTATATAGGCAAAGAAAGATTTGTTGAAGGTTAAAAATGGAATTCCACAAATGCATAGATGTATCCTTGCATAATTGTCAGCACGAGTGGGAGACAAATTGGTATAATAGTATAATCCTTTCTCCACAAAATCAGTGTAGTGGAAGGAATATTTGATCTTGTACTTTGTACTATTTTCTCACGTAAAACCTTTTGATCTTATCTTCTAATCTTCATAGGATTCAGCATGTGTGTTTATGAAGCATGCTTATAAGGATCAAGAGTTGTAAGAGATTCTTCAGAACCTTGTTCTTCATAAGTCTTCAGAACCTTGGTCTTCAGAAGTCTTCAGAAATTGTCTTCAGAACTTGTTCTTCACAGACTTCAGAACTTTGTCTTTAGAGTCTTCAGAGCTTGTGGAACGCAGAATATCAGAGCTTGAAAACACTTTAGAAGCTTGTTTATAAGAGTCACAATCATAAGCTATTTGATGAGCATTATATCAGAAGCGTTGTCAAAGAGTATTCTAGAACTTGACTATTCCTTGTAAAATGCACTTTGTTTCTTCTCAGAGTTAGAGTGTGTTGAGTTCATAACCTGATAACGTCACATGTCAATTCTTTAAAGTCAAAACATGTTATCATTCATCTACACACTAGACAAAAACCATTAGTGTACAAAATTGTTCTCTATGAAACAATGTATTTTTATCATCAAAACTAAAGGCTAGATGCAGAACCAACTCTTATTATTACAATCTCCCCCTTTTTGATGATGACAAAACCATGTATTTTGATGAACAATTTTTACTAGGTTTAATCACATAAAGCATATTAGAGTAAGCTATTAAGCTCCCCCTGAGTTTTGTATTATCAGAAATTATCTCAGCTTGTTCAGAGGCTCCCCCTGAGTTCAAGACTTATAAAATAATTTTAATACATAAAACACTTTAATCATCATGAAAGGAATACTTTCCTGCTTAAAATGCTATGAGAGTCTGATTAGAAATGTCTGGTTTGTATTCTCAGAGCATAATTTGCCATTAGAGTCTAGTTGGATTTCCTTTTAACAAAGGTCTGGTTAACAAGTTCTGATTATCAGAACATGCAATATCTTCAGAGTTTTTGATCCCTGTTTAATGATCATCTGAATCTCCTTATTAGAAATGTTGAGTGAACTTTTTCAGAGTTCCCGATCAGTCAAACAATGTTAGAGGCATAATATATTAGAAACATGTATGTGATAAGTAAGGAAAATAGGTATATCAAAATCATCTACACTTCTCTGCCTTTGTCATCAATCAAAAAAGACTTTTAAAGAGATAAACCAAAATAAGTACTTCATTTATGAAGATAAAGATACAGTTCCAGAAGACTAAAACCAGAAAACTAAACTAAAAGGTAAAAAAAAGTGGGTGGTGGTTGTGAAAGCTTTGACAGAATGGTTGACATCATAAATTCCAACTTGATTTTGGTTTCTGCTTGAGCTTTGAACATCTCATCTTGCTTTTCCAAACGAGTTCTGACCACAACATTCTCTTTCTTAATCTCTTCCAAAGTCTTCATTATCACATGAGGCATTTATTTATAGGCAGACACATAAGACTTCTTAATACCAGAAGTAGTCATGATCTTAGAAGATTTGACAACCATAGAGGTAGAAGGTCCAGAAGCAACATTAGTTGGAGAAAAAAATCTTCTATTCAGAAGTATAAGTTTCCTTAATATGAATATCTTAATGAGGAACTTCTTGCTTAGGTTCATCCGTAGTCCCATCAGATACACGAGCATGCAGAAGAACTTGTTCACTCTTCTGCAGAATAGGATTCATGACACCAACAATTCTATCGTGAAAATTCCATTGAGCATCCTTGAAACATATTTCCTTTAATTCCCGAGAGCAAGAATTAATCCACCTTCTGAAGTCATTTCAGAGTGCGTCACTCTCAGCAGATTTACACAATATGTGCAAACTTGCATCAAAGAGTGCAAACGTTCATTTGTTTCACTTTCAAGCTGTATCAATAATTCATCAATAGGAGGTCTTAGTGGTGGAAGTATATTGGTTCTATGGAAGTCCAAGTCAGAAGGATTAGGTTGGTTTACTTCAGGTTCAGCAAGAATCTCATCTTTATAATCAGATGATAGATTGACAACTTTTCCTAAAGAATCAATAGAATGGGGAATGGGACAAGAAATACTCCATCTCAGTGTCAATGACTGGGACACTAATGACATTGGATGGGTGTTATGATGATTGAGGGTCATTTGGGAAAGAATTAATTTCAAGGATAATAATTCTAAAGGAATTATAAATGGGAGTTAATGGTAGATATTCAATGAGTGGTGGTTGGTTAAGTGGTTATTAGATTTGGGATAAAAGTGGTTCAAGAATTTATGGTTGAGGTTGAGGCTCAAGTATTGTGGTTATGGAAGGTTGGGTATTTGATGGTTGATGAGTTTCAGAAATAGGGGGTTGAGTCTCAAAAGTTTGTGTGTTGGATGGTTCAAGTGGAATGATTTCATAAGGAGTAGTTTGTGCATGTTGAAGTAAGGGGGAACTACAAAAGTAGCATGAAGATGAGGTGGTAAAGGTGTAGGATGAGAAGGAGTAGATAAAGATGAATTATCATTAACATCCTGAAATAAAGGCAAAGAAGTCTCATCAGAGGATTTACTTGGTACGGGATTGTGAGAAGAAGGAGCTTCGACTTCAAAAATGGTTTATGAGGTCTTCTTGCAGAAACTGAAGTCTTAGCCTCGTTAGCTTGAGACTTAGCAACTCCAGAAGATCCATCACCAACCTTCTTAGAAGCTTTCCTCTTTATTTTGACAAGAGGCTCAGAGGAAGCAGCTGAATTATTTTCTTGATTAACAACTGCAGGTATGTGACCTGAATTAGGGCTTTCTAGAGAGTCCATTTTGTTGAAGTCAGGATAGTCAACAAGAGTTATTCTTCAGGAAGAAATTGCATTCCTATATAGAGCCTCTGGAATGTTAGTTACATCAGAAATCAAAGTCATGTTCTTGAAATTCTTTCCATCAAGGTTTTTCCCAATATCAGTGACTAACTTCTTAGGCAGATCCAGAGTATTAAAAAGCTTGCTCTCTATGAGATTATCGAAAATGGCTATTCCCATAGGAATCCACTTTCTGAGTTTGGCACCACCATCTCTGGTTTCTTTGACCAATTCTGTCAAATAATTGAAGAGTATTGAAGGAAGATTCAGTTTGACTCTAGAAGCAATGTAGAACTACACATACTTTTGATCAGTGTTAATATAATCAAAAGAGTTGGTTGATGGTTTGTGATGCACACATCCTAGAATGATTCTAAACCATACTTTAAGATAGTTGTGCAGATTCTTGGCATTCTTAGTATTATTTCCATCTTGAAAGATCACAACAGCTATCTCATCCATCTTTTCCAAGATAGTAGGTGTTGGCTAGGATTTTCATAAAGGGTTAAAATCCAACCAAAAGCCAAAAAGGTTCTTTGAGAACTTTGAATTATAGGAAGTCGACTACAGAAGCATTCGACCGGGAGATATTTCATAAATAGTCAATTGGGCTTGTGGATGCATTCCACCAGAAAAGAGGCCTCATGAGGAATGGATTGGGCCCAAGACTATTAAAAAGCCCATAGAGTGTATAACTAGCAAAGTAAAGTGTTATGGATGGACAACATGGATTCGATAGTAGATATTGAGAACGTGGGTTCATGGAGGGAAGTTTCAAGAGACATGTGGCTTATAAAGAAGCGAAACCCACCGAAAAGTAGTTATTTTTGTGTATTATAAATAAAACACTTAGTGCATAGTGTCAGTGGTTCAAACTTTCACATTCCTACACGCTAGTCGCTCAGAGTACCCAAGCGAACCAGTGAAATGAGTCAAGCTAGGGCAATGTACATTTTAATCAACCCATTTTCAATTATTTTTATATTATGTCATCTATTTTTATAGTTTAAAATGTCTTTTGTTTTATTTTACAAGTCCTGCTTTATTGCTTTTAAATTCGTTTCGCCTTAGTCGAATGAACCCTTTTGAATATACTTTGTGAAAACACTCAAAAACTGAAGCACTGTACTAAGATTCCCTGGTCGATCTCACCATTAAACTTTTTGTTAAGAGACCAGTGTTGTTTTCCAAAACCAGAGGTAAACAAATTGGCACACCGAGTGAGACAATGCTAATAATTATGTATTATGTGGGTGATTTTACAAATTTCTTATAGTTAGTTTGTGTTTGTATGAATTTAAGAAGTGGTAAACTTTTGTCCAAGTCTAGAATGCCACGCTCTGACACAAACAATGCACATATGCAGATTTCTACATAAAATGTAGACGTCATACCAGTGAGTACTACAACTCAAAGAGCGATAGTTTTATCTCCTGTGAGATCGACCGTTGTTCATGGTTCAGTGACAACAATCACAATGACATAACCTAGGCATGTGATATCACTATTTGACTCAAACCGACCACTCTTTCCAAGGGGTCCAGGGTCACCATTTGTCCCTTACCAATATGGAATGCCTTATTCTATGATGGTTGGGTTGTAGTCAAACCCGACCACATATACAGAAAACACAGTGGCCACTAGAAACCAAGGCATTTATGTCCCAAGTGGTCGACCAGGTGGTGTTAGTTATATCCCTTAGTCGACATAATCTTTGAATACTACTTTTGTTATGGCTTTAAGGGAGCAGATGAATGAGAGTAATTTGGAGTTAGTAAATGTCTTAACTCAACAAATGGGAGTTTCCCTCAATCATGTAGTTGACCAATTAAGTAGATTGATCGTTTCATTCAGAGTCCAACCAACTCAAATGTGCCACATGCCGTTAAGATTTTTTGAAGAACTAGAGTGGGCAACAATGAGCGTCCTTAGACCTAGAAGAGTGGAAGCACCCACTTATGAAGAGGATGAATTCATTGAACAATATGAACCTAGGCCGATCATAGTTAGGTGAAAGCAAGATGTTGATCGAGTGTTAAGAAATTCCACTGTTGGGCATAACAACATAGTAAATGTAGTAGAAGAAGTATTAACATGATATGGGGTAAATGTTGGCCTTCAGAGGCCAAATTACTCTCCTCCATTACCTGATTACATTGGACAGGAAGAATTACCTTGGGGATGTAAGGTACCTAAATTTACCAAGTTAGCGATCTTGCTAACGATGAGGGTTTAAAATTAAGATATTTTCTTAATTCGTTGACCAAAAATGCTTTTACTTGGTTTATGACATTGACTCCAAATTCCATACGCACTTGGGAACAACTTGAGGGTATATTTCATGAGAAATTTTATGCTGGTCAGCCTAAGATAAGTTTGAAAGAGTTATCCTCAATCAAGAGGAGGTCGTCTGAGTTAGTGGAATATTATTTGAATAGGTTTAGGGTCCTAAAGTATAGATGCTTCACTAGAGTTCTTGAACATGAGTTGGTCGAAATGGCCACTGGGGGTTTAGATTATTCAATTAGGAAAAAGTTTGATCCTCAATCTATTACAGACATGTCTCAGCTAGCTGATAAAGTTCGATATGTCGAACGTTAGAAAACAGAGAAAGCTAGGGTGTCAAGGGATCATATAAAAGGTAAAGTGGCCTATGTAGACACAAAATATTATTGCATAGAGTCTGAGAATGAATAATTGGAAGAAGGAGAAGTTAATGTGGCTGAATTAAAAGCCAGACCTCTGTATGCATGTAAACCTATTAGACCGTCAAAAAGAAAGACGGTTGAAGAACCAAAAAATGATATATTTAGTACTAAAACATATACTTTTGATGTGTCAAAATATGATGAAATATTTGATTTTTTAGTTTCAGATGGTTAGATTATAGTGCCTCCGGGCAGTAAAAATCCACCATTAGAGCAGAAACAAAAAAATAGGTTTCTGCAAGTATCATAATTTTTGGGTCATAATACTTCTCAATGCTTTCTTTTCAAGGATTTGATTCAGAAGGCTCTGAAAGATGGTCGACTGAAATTTGGTGAAAAACCAAAAAGAAGGTTGACTCAGATCATTTACATGTTGTTGATGCGCACTTTGTCGAACCATTGGAAGTGTTGATGATTGAGACTACTAATGGTCTTGAAGGAGAACAGGCGCATATTCTCGACTCACTCGTAGCATTTACAATCAACACCACTGATGGTTTTGAGAATGAATAAGCTCTGACCATTGATCCAATGGTAGCTGTAACAGTCGACACTACTGAAGGTCTCAAAAGTGACAATAGAAATTTCTATAAGCCACAAGAAGTGATGGTAGTTAATATTGCTGAAGAGCTTGAAGGTAATCAAGGCGACAAGGAAAAAATGGATTGTGAAACTATGAATGAGGAGTTGTCGGAAGAAACAATTGCTGAATTAATAAAGGTTATTTTTCCCAAACCTAAAGAGGAGTTGGTGGATTTTCTGAATTGGTGCAAGCTGGGTAATTCCAGGTCTATGTTATGCCCAAATTGTAACGTAGTCTATGACGAAAAATGCTGCAAAGAAAATTGAGGCGTTGAAGAAGAAACTCCCTCCAGCGAAGAATCTAAAGGTGGTGTTCAACCATGCAAAGGGACCGTACAATGTCCAAGTTCCCCAAGGGAAACCTAGATTTCCGTATCAAAGGACCTTTGTGCCACCAACTGATGTTCCCAGTAATAACTGGGTTCGTCCTTTTTATCCAAGGGGGGCAAATCAAAATTAAAAAGTAGTAAAGAAAGGTTCAGGTTCGAGTCATAAGTGGGAAATAATGGAGAAAGGATCAAGTTCTTCCCAATTTGCTGAAGCTGGGATCACTTTAAAGAAGTATCATGTTCCTCCCACATACAAAGGGAAAAATCCTATGACAAAGACTCAATGGAGAAGGTTCCAAAGAAACAAAAAAGCTGCAAGAGAAGCAGCATTAAAAGTTGCTCCATCAAAGGGTGAGAGCATTCAAAAGGAAGTGCACCGTTGAACAACAAAAGAGAGGTTATTGATGCCGGTTGTGAGTGCGCCGCCAACAAAATTTGAAAATCCTGGTGATGACAACATGGACAATGAACTATCTGAAAAATTTGAAGATAGCTCAGAAGATGGTTGAGTATTCATTGTAATATTGTGTCAGTCCTTCCTAATGAGTATGGTTTCGCGTCAGAGGCATCTGGGGACAAAGAGGAAGCCATGTGTGAACAAAAAGTAAGCCAGAAACCTATATGCTACTATGTCATGAATAATGCAGTGGTCGAAGAAC